ACAATGACTTACGTTCGTGATTATATTGTGGAGCATTAAAGACGAGTGAGAGCAAGTTCTGCGAAATTTCTCTTGGTTTAACCAAAGTTCAGTTGCCGCAGATCGGCAGTATAAAGAGATGGGTGACAGATTTCTGCCTTTCTATTGGGGCCAAACAAGTGGTTCGAATGATTGAAGCTTCCCACATCGTTGGCTCATCAGTCAAGTAGTTTGCAATTAATCGCCCGACGGAGTAAAGAGTCACTTTCCCGACCGATAACTTATTGCCAAACTAATATAAGAGGAGACATTTGGCTTCACCGGGTCCTGACTTAAAAGATCGTCAATTTTACAAGCTCGTTTTGACTTTATCAGTATCGGTATTTCGTAGCGTGAACGGCGAAGAAATTACGCTGAATTAAAATTGTTGTAGTTGCAATCAGTTGGCAGTTTGATTCAGAAGTCACCCTAAAGAAATGTTAAGCAAAGACAACTTTTCTCTCTCGCATCCCATGAAAGTTGAATCGGTTTTGAAAGAAGATATGAAGACCTAAGGGCTACAGCTCTCATATCTAGTAGCATCATACAGATAAGTGATATTGAAAGACATTTCACCTACCTAAGGGTTTTGTGTCCTCGAAAAAGTATGGCCACAACAGAAAAAAAAAAGGCCAGTTACCCTCCATTTATGAAATCCGTTCTAGCAGCCATAACATTTTTTTCCATCTCTCGCTACCACGCAGCAAAGCTATTGGTAAGGAGTTGAACGCCTCCCAATGATTTTAAACATTTAAATCACTTTCTTCGCACGGTTTGGCAAAATAAACAATGTTTTCGTTTGTCGGTGAGCTGGAACTCGAACGGTTTACCGTTTCTTTCGGAAGTATTTTCCTTACAGCATTTAACGTCTTTTGGTTTCGAAATAATTTTAGTCAAAGAATGGTCTCCAATCGTCAAGCCCCACTCAAGTCAGCGAACCGATTCATGTCTCACTTTAAACCATTGGTATTGCGTTTGGAAATTTTAGTATTGAAAAATCGAGAGCTCTTTTCGTCGTTTTTCATTACTTTCTAAATCGAATATATTTCCATAACTTTGTTTTTCATTTAGAGCTCCTAAGTTAAAGATGTGTTTTTTTTCCTCAAAAAATTCGTAGCCAAGCTGGACAGAGACTTTGCAATAAATCGCGTAGGAAAGTGTCAGTCTCGAACCCCTTGCTGGCTGACGCTGTAAGCCTGCAAGTTAGCATTATGACGCATGCTCGCGCAATCAAATTTAATCATGCGACTTACTAGCTCTGTCATGAGTACTCGTTATATCTTTATGTCGGAAATTTAAGTAGTGGTGGATATATCGATAAATCGATCGGATTGATTCATTGATTGACTGATGATGTCACTGTCTTCTAACTGCCACTGCAGTCCATTTGATTTTATACACTGCTGCGCCGTGATACGATTCTGGTATGACGTACATCAAATATAAAAATCAAATGGTTAGGAGTGACGTTTCTTTAGAAAAACTATTCCACGGACATCCCTCTGGAATAAAACGTGAGTGCCTCATCCGTTAAAGGCACCTCTCTAGAATCAAACTTGGGTACCTTGTCCGTTTAAAGGCGCAAAGGTCAAGACAAGTAATCAAGTTGGAAAACATTCGCTCTTTTTTCATAATTGTGCAAGCTAATTGAATCGGGTTAGATAATCACCCGCGGCGGCCGTGCTTTCACGTCGCCGGATAAAAAACTGATAGTTCGTTATAGCGATCGGAGAGGAGCACGCGCGCAAGTAAGTCGATTCATCAATTTTTAGTTATGGTATGAAGCAGAGATTTTTTCCTCGAATGGCTTGCTATGATTTTAAAAAGCTTCTGAGAACGCAAAACACATATGGCCTTTCTGAGAAGGAGTTAATTACCAATAATATTATCAATAGAGGACTCATTCTGTGTTTACATAGCCTCACGTACCTTAAGACTAGAAGGGTTGGAAGACTTTGATAAGGTTATGCGAACCCGAGACGCAGTTCCCTTGAATTCCCTCGACTAGGTCTTCCAGCTGACGATCATCGAGCCAAGCAAAGTGCTGAAGTTCTTTTTTTTCTTTTGCTATTGTTCCCTCGGGCTCAGATGGGTTGAGATAGCCAAACTCAAAATCAAAATTTGCACAAAATTCTCTTTTGCTTTCGCATTTGTATGTGAAATCTTTTTGCGAGTGTTGCGAAAGATCTGACATGACATCAAAACGGTCTTAACATTTATGTAATCTCTTAGATATTTTACAATAGCATTTCAAGAAGATATCGGCATTGTCATCCTCGGTAATATTTATACCATTACTGGCGTCTCCGATGATGCAGGAGTTTAGGGTCACTAGCCAGAGACAAGAAAGTATTCGCAGAAAACATATGAGCACGCATCCTCAGTGTCAGATAGATGGCGTCCTGTTAGTCTATAAAAAGCTTGCCATCTCGATTTCTGCAGAGTTTGTCATTTTCTTTTCGGTTGCGTATGGCTGCATACATACAACGAATTATACCTAAATAAGATAACAGTGAGTTTTAATCAATAAGGAAAAGGTACGTGACATAAGGCTTTTTGCTGTACAATTTGCTGTGTCTATGAACTTCCGTAAGCACTGCGCTTCACCAAATTCTTAATTTTTAAAATATAGGGCTTTTTACGGAACATAATGTCATTTAATGCGAGAGCTTTTCAACGTTAAGAGGCAAACAGATGTAGGAAATGTGTTATACCATGAGGATCTACAAGCAAGACTTAATTTTTCGTAATTCAAGACCTCTCGAAAAGCGTTCTCTGTAGCATCAATTGGCAAGGGACCGATGTTGAACTCTTGACATTTCGTAATGGTTTTCGATGCTGGTTTGGATAAAGCACATTCTGCTTATCTAGCAAAGTCGAACCTTAACGCAAGTGATTTCCTATAACCTCGTTTTCTACTGTGTTCTGTACAATTCGATTTCCGAGTCCCCAAATCGGCTTTTTTAATCGTTTGATTCAAGTGAGCTAGCCTGCTTTGTAGGCACAATTTTTGCCGTTCAGTGTTCAGCAGTTTCTTTTTGCTTCTACCATCGCACGGTGGCGTAATTCAAACATGGCCAGTTGAATAACGTAACATTAATTAACTCGCCCGAATAAGGCGCCTGCACTGCACCCCATAAGTGAGCCTATGTCAGTTTTATTTGTAGTTCGCTTTTGCATTGGGAGTGGCAAGTCAATGTCTGGTCAGTGGCAAGCTAAATTAACTTATATAGTCAGCTTTTTTAAAATGGCTCCCCTAACAAGTATCATGGGAGTATAGTGCTGTTCTATCGTCCTTTTTGCCGAATTTCTTAATGTGTTAAAACAAATTAAATGCCATGTTTTAGCCCTTTCCAGTCCTCTTTCATTTTGAAGGAAATACTTGCATTTATAAATGTTGTTACAAAATAGATGATGGCTATGGCCCTGAAATCCTCGTTTTGTAACCTGGAGGGTTTTGGTGCAGTTGGATTTAAGGAATTACTTCTGCATTTTTGCTAAAGAAACGGGCTTCGAACTCCTTCCTTTTTTTCCTCTCAATTGCGCTTTCTGCTCCCCTTTTCATCTCTCCAACGGAGAACTACACTCATTCTGTTTCACTATCTGATGTGGCTCAAAGTACTATGCAGTACAGGGGACGGTAAAATCCGCACTAAAGATTAGTTCCCTCTTTGCCACTGGGCTTGATAATCTACCATCCTTCATTCTTCTTCCCTCTCTCTTCTCAGGCGCATCATTATATAGTTCTAAGAAAGCGTCTACGTTTCCAAGAAATAAACAATCGGAGTGACCTTCTCGGTCGAGCGAAATGAGTATATGACCTTGATTCGAGCGATAGGCATTTATAAAGATTTCAGATGCTAGAACCATGCAAAGTGCTCAAAAGCCTGTGTTTCAGAAACATATAGGCGGAGCGAGAAACATCTCTCGCATATACCCAGAAGGAGTCCTGGTCTATAATTTACATATTTATATTAAGTACATATTCATTTTCCTATACCCATATATTCATATACCCACATCTCCATTCATTTACCCTCATATTGATTTATCTATGTTCATTTACGCTTATTTATGTTCACATACCTCCTTCTACCATCCAATATTTCTACTCACATCCACCTTCATTTATATTAAATAAATTTACTTTCATCTACATTCATTCGCGTCCGTTTACTTTCATCTAACTTCATCTGCATTCATCTCCCTTGAAGTTCATTTACGTTAATTAATTTGCCTTCATTAACCTTCAGTCATCCTCATCTTCCCTCATATGTCTTCAGCTACTTTTATCTACTTTATTATATGGATACTGATGAAATACCAGGATTTCTCCTTTTACTAAAAAATCATATCTTCACCGCGCGGAGTGAAGATATTATTTTTATCTTTCACGTGTGAGGATATTGGTGTGGCCATGGTTACCAACATAATTACCCAATTGCTGTTTCGAAAATGAATAAAAAAAAAAAGTTGTGTTTTATGTGGATATTTCATCAGTATTTATATAATAAAAAGAACATTACGTGGCTGCTCACTCGTGAGAGATACTTTCAACACTCGACGATAAAATTCGTATCCCGCGCGGCAATGTAATATCCTCTATTTACTTACCTTGATTTACCCTTCAGATACCGTTAATGAAATTCATTTACCTTTGTCTACAGTCATCTTCCCTTCTACCTTAATCTACCCTCATCTACCTTAATTTTCGCCTTCTACCTTGATTCGCCATTTTTCTGAAATTCATTTCCCATCCCCTACCTTCAAAGACCGTCATTTACCCTCTTCTATCTTCATCCACCCTTATCTACGTTCATTGTCCTTTATCCTCTTTCAGTTATCTCCATTTTCATCTTCATTCATCTGCTATCCTCTACCTAGCTATCTCCACCTTCATTTGCCATCATTACTACCCCTAGATCAACTCCAGGGAGTAACTTTCACCGTCTAATCAGATTTCTTTTCCTTTAGGTTCTGTTATGCTATTTCTTGCACTTCATGTGACTTTTCAAATAAAACCATCAACGCGTGCAGCCCCAATAGATTGCACAAAGAACACTGCAGTCTGCTTGGAAGAAATAATCAAGAAAATCACTCAAGTTCGATATGAGGCTAACATTCTCAAGGGGAACAAAAACTTGGCGAGTTGTAAGTAACATTCTTTAAGGTCATGTGGGTTGATACTTTTATTACCGTTTATTCATTTAAATTGTTATTATTATTTTTTGTTTAGCTAAGAACTGTGCTGAGCTGTACAAATCCGGCCGAAGAGTCAGCGGCGTTTACACAATCGATCCAGATGGTTCAGGTGCATTTAATGTATATTGTGACCAAACAACAGCCGGTGGGGGGTGGGCAGTGTTTCAGAAGAGATTAGATGGTTCCGTTGATTTTAACCGCACTTGGAATGACTACAAACATGGCTTTGGTAACTTGGTCGGTGAATTTTGGCTTGGCCTGGACAAGATAAACCGCCTGACGCGAAACAAGACATATAACAAGCTTCGAGTAGATCTGGAAGTAACTACTGGTAAAACTGTTCACGCTGAGTATGACTGGTTCGGGATTGGGACCGAGATGGCAGAGTACCGGCTGTACATTAGCAATATTACAGGTAATTAAACCGTTTTTTTTTTTTTTTACCATCGATCGTGCGATTTACATATCATGTATTACTTCCCTTATACCGTCTAGGAGCCCCTCCCCCTCCAACCCTAGCCACCCTTACCCCCACCTAACCAGCAAACAATGTTTTTTTTTCCTTACGTATCACTGTTTAATTATGTTTTGCTGTCAATTCTGCCCATCCACAGTTGAGCCCACGCTCCTCCGCGGACGGCTTCCATCCGAGGCTGTGGGCGACTAAACAGTTGTTGAACTCGGCTCCTGAAAAATACCATAATTTGATTAGTTACCCTACTTGCGAGCTTTCATCAAAATGTCGAGTTTTTTTCCTACCTCGTGAAATAAAACTTAATCAATTGTAAGCATTGCCCCTAAGACCTTCGAACTTGTTTTTGTTAATAAGCATCCTTATTCTAATAAGCGCTCCTACTGTATAGGCACCTCCATTCCACAAAGCGCCCTATTCCAAGAATAGCCCCCTGTTCTGTTTCAATAATAGCACTGGTACTGTTAGAGTACATGTACATCGAGATCAGCCTTGATCCATCTTCCACTAATTAGTCATTCAAAGCCTTACGACAAAAAAGTGTTCTTCCTCTCAGTCTCTCAACTATTATGTCGCCGAGGGTGCACTGTTCCTTCAATCGAAGTATTCCGTCTTAAAATTTTTCCGATCGTTGCTTGGCTAATCTTTCTAGCAAGGAATGATCCAGGGACAATAAGTTCGTTTTGCAGTCTATTTTCATTATTTACGAATAAACATCAAAGCTTTTGTTTTCTTTTTTTATTTTATTTTTACAGTTCTGCTGTTTCTGTTTGTTTGTTTGTTTTACGTCAGAAATTAATCTTTAGGTTCCAAGGCACTATCTTGATCTTGAAATCATACTACTTTCTTACTTTTTTTTTGGAACAGATGCGACTGGTTCTTCTGATCCCCTCGGTCATCACAGAGATTTCGTTTTTGGTACCTTGGATAGAAATCCTGCCGATTGCGATCAAAAAAGAAGCGGAGGCTGGTGGTATGGTAACAGTACTTGTCCTTTCTTGTCAAATCTCAACGGTATTTATCCGCGTTGTGGAAATGAGATCGGGCCCAAGATCCACTGGGGAAATTTAGTTCGAAAGAGCGCCAAGGATAGCGCTCCCGCATCAACTGAAATGAAAATTAGACCAGTGGACTTTTTCTAAAACTTTCAGACGAATAAGTGAACGCCCCATAAACGAATAATGATTCTCGCGGGTTCTAATTGGACGCCTCCGGAGATGATAAGTTATGTAAGATTCGCCTTTACCATGCTTTTACTATGATTGTGATTTGTTGATTAGATAACGTGGCCTTCATTTTATTGAGTTTGAATGAATTCCGCCGGGGAAACACCATCGTTAACTGCTTCCCTCGCATCCTGACATCAAGAGCAGTAATTTGCATATATATATATATATATATATATATATATATATATATTGTGACGTTGATCCTATTTTACGTCCTATCCATTGTTTTGGTGTATAATACTTTATGAACCATGATTTAAAACTGCTAAAATTCAAAAATTAGTTCGCTAGCCGTTGAAATTAAACCAAAATATCCTTTATTTCAGTTTTATTATATCTTACTTAGTGATTTATGCGTGTGTTTAAAATCTACAATGATGAAATTTACATCTGCCCAATTAATGCTGTTTTAAAACACAGAGGAGTACTTTCTACGAAAAACATTTTACAATAGGCTGATAAGAAAAATGACGACATATAGACTTAACCATAGTCTTTTTGCGCTTGCTAAAGTCTACACGGTTAAAATCTACATATGCCCAGTCGATACTATTTTGAAACATTAAGAAGTAGCTTGCACGACCAGTAAAAAATCGTTTACCTTTTTTCAACTTCTTTAAATTCCAGAGGTAAAGATTTTTACAATTTGCTGATAAGTAAAAATAATTAATAATCATAGTCATCAAATGTGATTTTAGAGAATCATTACATCAAAGTTAATTCAGAGGGATTCATTCCTACAAATGAACGTTATCAGCTACTAGCTGGATGTTATACATGTTTCTTTTTATTATTTGTACATTTGTCACCTTTTCTTATGAAATTAATTTAAAATTATACCGCCTCAGAGCTATCAAGATCAATAAAGCAATTTACGATTTTATCAAAGAATGTAAAGTAAGTATGAGTTTTTCAGACTGTTATTTAATATCTATGTAGCCACGTCAATAGCCTGTGATAGTGTTACCATGACAACCCACTAGGTTGCAAACTTCCTTCACTTAATTATTTCCACGCCTTCACTGGTCTTTCTATTCGATATTTGCCAGTAAAGCGTCTTACGCGTGATTTGACAAGCATTAAACACATAACTTTATCATAATGATGCATGAACTATTCATTTACCATGTTTCAGTGGTCGTTTCAGTAAATTGACTGAGATACACATTCCATTCACTCTCACGTTTCACCCTCACAACCACTCAGTTAAATCCGTCATTCTTAAAAACTTTAAATTACTTCAAAACGATCCAGAGACATCTTAAATTGTATTGCTTACAGACTTTTTAAAGCTATTAAAACTTGTGTTTTTCTATTCTTTTCTTTTCTTTTTGTTTTTGTTTGTTTGTTTTTTTTTTTTAGAGGTAAAATCATAATCCATTTATTGTGGTATTCATTGCAGTTTGCGGATTTTCCGCATTTTCAACATTTTTGGTTAAGTTTTCCGTTTTCGTCATAAAAAAAGATTCATGGTTGTGGATTTGGTATCCGATGTACGCAGTTTTCGGCTTCTCCTATTTGAGTTCCGATTTCTCTTTGATCTGAGCAGCAGTTACGCGTCTCTACTGATCTCGAATAGCTGCGAACCTCAGGATGCTCCACTTGTCACCACTGTATCGGACCGATCAGGGTTTTGATAAGTAGGATGTGAAAATTTATTAGTTTTGCACGCAATTTTCGGTTTTCATTGAACTTT